GTTGTCTTCAGGTACAGCCAACAGTATCACTTCTCTTAAGCATCATGAGAAAACCTTCTTTCAGAGCCAATTCTCCTGAGGAAAGGGTGGAAAGGAAGCTGCATGACTGAGCATGTATCCCTTTTCGCTCTGGCTGCTGGGAGGCTCACAGGAAAGCTCACCAGTAGCTACATAACCTTAGGACTGTGGGTCTGTGCCTCCTCCCCACCTTCCTGTCTTTTAATCAGTTTCTTTGGTCCAGCTAAATGATGCCAAGTCCCAGCTACGTTAGGTAGTCAGAAAACAAACATCAACCACAACTCAAGCGTCCACCTATAAGGCCTTCCTTGGCCAACTGGCTCCATAGTGCCTTTGGACCCGGGCCCTGAAATTGCTGGGTTTGGGGTTCTCCTCCATGAGCCCATTACCATGGGATGAGTCAGTGTTACAGGAGTAAACCAAGTCACTCTCCACAAATGCATGGTCTGGGATTTGAACCCTGAGCCTGGTGTCCTGGTCTCCAGGAGTGAGGGGCAACTGAGACATACAGCTGGGCCTTGGGAAGCACTGCTCCTTGCTGTGTGACCCTGGGCAAGCCCCTTTCCCTCTCTGATCTGGACTGAACCAGACAGCCCACAAGGTTCCCCAGGCACAGGTCATCAAAGCCAGCACTCTGCTGGACGCCCGGCCCGTGTGGAGCAGCACACAGGCGTGAAGCGTCATGACAATGCCAGCAGGCGGGTCCTGGCACTGTTGCCACTGCGGTCACTCCTGAGTCCACCTGTCTCCCTAAGGGGGCCCCTCAGGCATCACCCCATGCTGACGAGTCGACATGCCAGGAGAGGTTTCTCCTTCCCCCCCCATGAGTCAGCCTCACAAAGACCACAGGCAGGGCTGACCCAAGCCACGATCCGGACGCCACCTTCCCCAGGCAGACCACGGGCTCCGCCGAATCCAGCTCCTCCATCAGACCTGAGGATCACAGTCCACACTCCACGGGGTTGTGGGAATCAAAAACAAGCCACAGCAGGTACCAGGCCAGGCCCAGCCCCTGAGCTGGCCTGTGACAAAGGCCCACTTCCCTCCCAGGCCTGAAGAGGCTCCTCAATGGTCCCATGAGGCATCCTTCTGCCACACAGCTATGCCCCCTTTGGGCAGCCTCACCAATCGACAGAGTGAGATGCAGGGAAAAGTCAAGCAGCTCAAGACTGCTCAGGTCATTCCATCAGAAGAGCATGGCCAGCACCACTGTAACCAGGGAGCCTCACAGAGATGGGACAGCAGGTGACAGGACCAAGGAGGACACAGGCCATCAGTGGTCCCACCCCCTGAATGCCATCCACCTAGGACAGCGGTTACCCCACGGTCCCCTGGTCCTCCCAACACTATACATCAACACAGGGCACTCTGTGGTCCTCGTGTGCTCTCAAGGACACACATCGAGGATGCCTGTGGCCCTCCTGTTCCTCTCAACACAATGCCCAAGGACACAGTCCATCCTTGAAACGTCAGTGCCACAAAAATGAAGCCTGAGATAAAGGAGGCGGAAGAAACAGTGTAACGCAAGACTACAGAATGCCATGCTCCCCCCTCCCCCCCCCCAGTTCCGGGCAGACCCGGCGGAGGAAGAACCTCTGAAGCGCAGGACAGGTATGTAGAGCTGATGGCATGTAAGTGAGGTCCATGGATCAGATAACAGTGTCGGACCAGTCCACATCCAGACTTGACAACTTCTGCGGTAACATGAGGGAGCTCCGATGGCCTGGTCCGAGGGAGCTGTGCTCTCGACTCAATGGCCACACAATTTTCTCCTGTGCACTGGACAGCTGAGGAAATCCAGCGAAGGGGCAGCTATGAGCTGGCTGTGGCACAATGACAGAAAGAGAACGATCCAACAGAGAATACCTTGTTCTTAAGAGAGAACTTGTAAACAACTCTGAGATATCATCTCACCCCAGGAAGAATAGCAAAACTTAACAGAACAGCAAACAACAAATGCTGGCAAGGCTGTAGAGAAACTGGGAAACCTTATTCACTGTTGGGGGAAGTGTAAAATAGTGCAAGCACTATGGAAGGATGTATGACACTTTCTCAAAAAGTTGCAAATAGAAATACCATTTGACCCAGCAATTCCACTACTGGGAATATACCCTAAAGAGACCATAACTGTCACCCAGGCAGATATATGCACACTCATGTTTACTGCGGCTTTGTTCAAAGAGCTAGAAACAACCTAAGTGCCCATCAACAAACAAATGGACCCATCAGCAAACGAATGGATAGAGAAGCTGTGGTATATTCACACAATGGAATACTACGCTGCATTGAAAAACAGGGAACTCATGCAATATTATTCAAAATGGGTGACTCTGGAGGACATTATGCTGAGTGAAGTATCTCGGTCAAAAAAGGACAAATACTGCATGGTGCCACTGTTGTAAAACAGGACCGACATCAGGGTTGGGGGGAGACTGAGAAAGATGGGTTCAATAATGTATACTGCAGTGAAACAGATGAGGGAGAGAACTGTTTAAAAGGGATATGTGATTAGGTATTTTTGTCATGACAGGAGTTCAGAGTAAAGGCTGCATAGTGGAGTGGACCTGGGGGAGGGTTTGTAAAACAATAAAGAATTTTTCTTTAACTTTTCCAAGAGGGTAGTGTACTAGGGAGGAAGGTTGGGAGGGGGAAAAAGGTGCAACAATGAATGAATGGAAATCCAAAGTCTCTGTAAATTTTCACTGAAATAATAAATTTTAAAAAACAACAACAAAAAACCCCACCCCCCCAAAAAAACCCCAACAACAAATGGATAGAGAAGCTGTGGTATATTCACACAATGGAATACTATGCTGCATTAACAAACAAGAACTCATAAAATATTATTCAAAACGGGTGACCCTGGAGGACATTACGCTGAGTGGAATATCTCAGTCACAAAGGGACAAATATTGCATAATGCCACTGTTGTAAAACAGGACTGACATAGGGGTTGGGGAGAGACTGAGAAAGATGGGATAAATAATGTAGACTGCACTGAAACAGATGAGGGAGAGAACTGTTTCAAAGGGATATATGATTAGGTATTATTGTCATGACAGGATCTCAGAACAAAGGCTGCATAGTGGCGTGGACCTGGAGAGAGGAACTGTATAACAATGAAAGAATTTTTCTTTTACTTTTCAAAGAGAAGAGTGAAGGGGGTGGGGAGGGGGGAGGGAAGGGCAGGGAGAAAAGTACAACAATGAATGAATGAATGAATGGAAACCCTAAGTCTCTGTAAACTTTCATTAAAGTAAAAAAAGAGAAAGAGAGAGAGAGAGAGAGAACTTGTATTCCTGTGTTGAGGGGCAAGTCTGAAATTTATCTTCAATTGTCTAAGAAACACACATGCACATACATGTGCACACACATTACAAAGACAAAGCAAACATGACAAAGTGTTAGCACGGCATCCGAGCAAAGGATGTGCAGGGCAGTTCTTTATTTATTCTTGAAACTTTTCTCTATGTTTGATATTATTTCAAAATAAAAAAGGTTGCCAGGGGAAGGCCAAATTGGTGTTTCAAGAGTGCGAGGTCACCACCAGAAGTTCACACACTGTACTGGCCCCGAGTACCCACCGGTCCAGAGACAGCTGGCTCCCCGGCTCACCCCCTCTCCACCCCTCCCCATGTTTGGTTCTCTCGACAAATGACCTTGTGTCTGCTCTCCTATCATAAACTTGTAAATTCCCCTTTTCACTTTGGCAGCCAGGAAGCTCAGAGCTGAGTTCCTTCTTTTGTGGGCGTCCTGCCATAGGGGATTCTGCATAGCGTTGACCTGAAGTGAAGTGCTCATGTTCTGCTCAGGGTGGGATGAGATGGCCCCCGCCTCTCGTGGTCCAGCCTGCAGCGCTCCCACCCTGGAGGCCCCCCTGGGTTCCCACCTCTCAACTTGGACAGGGTATTCTGGGGAGACCTTATCAT